ATCAGATAGTTTTATTTTGTGTAAGTTCCTTATATGTTTTGGATACATATATATATTTTTGGATATTTTCCTCTATTTAGTAGATTGTTTTGGTTAAGATTTTATTTGTTTATTTTTAGAGAGAGGGGAAGGGAGGGAGAAAGAGAGGGACAGAAACATCAATATGTGCTTGTCTCTTGTGCGTCCCCTACTGGGGATCTGGCTGGCAACCCAGGCATGTGCCCTGACTGGGAATTGAACAAGTGACCCTTTGATTCACAGGCCCATCAATCCACTGAGCCACACCAGCCAGGGGAGATAGGGGGTGTTTTGGGGGGGGGCAGGGGTTGGGATTTTTTTTTTTGATGGTTTCCTTTGCTGTGCAAAAATTCATTTTTGTATATTCTCATTTGTTTATTTTTTCTCTTCTTTACTATGCCTACTGACATATATCCAAACAAGTATTTCTAGGAGCAATGGCAGTTTATTAACTAGTTTTTCTTCTAGGTTTTTCATGGTTTCAGGTCTTACATTTTCACTTTTAATTTATTTTGAGTTTATTTTGGCCACATGGCATACAAAAGTGGTCTAGTTATTTTGTGTGTGTGTGTATTTGTTCAGTTTTTCTTGCACCATTTGTTAAAGAATTTGTTTTTCCCCAATGTGCACTCTTGACATTTTCCTTTTATATTAGTTATCTGTCTTTGACCATTTTAAAAATTGTGTTTCTTGTTTTATCATGTTGTTTGGTAAAAGTTCTTTATATATTCTGAATATTAAAGACTTATCAGATATACCCATTGAACAAATTGTTGTCCACTCCACAGGTTGTGCTTAACCCACTGATTTTTTGCCTGAATGTGCAGGAGTTTTTACATTTGGCGTAATCCCATTTGTCTATATTTGTTTTGTTTATCTTTTCTTTTGGTGTCATAATGAAAAGATCAAGTGATAAAATTTTTCCATATCTTTTTGTTTCATAGATTAAGAATTACTAGCTTTATGTTTAAATGTTTTTTTTCCATTGTGATTTAAAATTTGTATATTATTTTAAGTAAGGGTCCAGCCACATGTGGACAACCAGTTTTCTCCACACTATTTGTCTATGAGAATATTCTTTCTTTTCATATGGGCACACTTCTTAACATCTTCTTTAGTTACACCCAGCAATATTTTATACATTGTTTTTATTGATTTTAGGAAGGGAAGAAGAAAGAAAGACAAACATTGACTTGTTCCACTTACTTAAGCATTCATTGGTTGCTTTTTGTAAGTGCCCTGACTGAAGATCGAACTTACCATTTTGGCATATTGGGACATTTTAACCAACTGAGCTAGTCAGCCAGAACAAGAATATTCTTTTCTTATGTTGAAGGTCATTTGACCTTATCCATGAGAAGTTGTATATAGTCTTTTCAGTCCACCATGCTTCAGTATCTACCACTGTCTTAATGTTTGTATTACACTTTTAGATAGTATCAGCTTTGAAATATGTTTTAAAATCAGGTATTATTATACCTTTAACTGTATACTTTCTATGATAATTTTGATTGCCTGGTGTCCTATGACATTCCATATTAATTTAACTTTTTTATAGATTTTTTATTTTAAAGGTGGGGGAGGAGTGAGAAAGGGGCAGAAACATTGATGTGAGGGAGAAATATCAATTGGTTGTCTTTCTTATGCATCCCAACTGGTATGGAACTTACAGCCCAGGCATGTGCCCCTACCTGAAATCAACTGACAACCTTTCACTTTGAGGGGACAGTGCCCAGCCAACTGAGCCTCTGCAGTTTGGGCTGATATTAATTTTAAGATAAACTATTCTTTTTTATTTCGCCAAAAATGTCATTGGGATTTTGATAGGGATCACTTTGAGTGTTTAGGTCGGCTTGGGTACTACTGTTACCTTATACTATTAGCATTCCAATTTAGAATCATGGGATAAATTTTTTTAAAGATTTTATTTTATTAATCCTCTCATGAAGAGTTTGCATAACACCACAGATAAAGTCACTGAAGAATCTTTATGCCTTCTTTTTGCCAGCACCAACATTGGGCTTGGCACTCGTCTTGATGGTCTACATTGTGTGCTTGTGTTCTTATCTCTGTTTTCTTGAGGTCATCTTCTCTTTTAGGCCATGTCTTGCAAGTCTTATGTTTGGGTTATTTTTTATGTAATCATAAATTATTCCAGAGCTAGTTGTCTTGCCATCTCCAAAATTGGTTCCAAATCCAAACACAAAGGTGACATCTGGTGTGGTCTTACACATTTTGGCTAGTATTTCTTGAATTAATTTCTTGCATGCTGTTGCCTTCCCGAGGTGAACATCACTAATGACCATCTGTTTCTGGTGAGGAGCCTATTGGTCATGAACTTCTCACTGCAGACTGTGTAGTTCATGATTGATGGCCAATCTTCAAGCAGCCAGAGCAGAAAACTGAAATATTTCATATTGACTTTTTTCTTTAATTGCAACCAGCAATATTTTACACTTTTTTAAAAACATTTTATTTATTTATTTTTAAGGAGGGGGGAGGGTGGCAGACGGAGAGGGAGAAAAACACCAGTCTGCAAGAGAAACAATGATCGCTAGCCTGTTGCACACCCCCAGAGATGCACCTTGACTTGAAATCAAACCTGCAGCATTTCAGTGTGCAGGCCAATGCCCAACCCACTGAGCTACATCACTCGGGCAATATTTTATACTTTTAATCATAAAAGTCAGACACCTTATTTATTATGTAGTGAACTCTTAAATATTTTATTCTGCTTTATGCCATTGTAAATATGATTACATTCTTAACTTGTTTTTTCTATTCATTTCTGTTGTATAAAAGCACTAACTTAATGGGTTGGTTTTATATTCTGCCTTTTGAAAAAGTTCTCTGATTTGTTGGTTTTTTTTTTTTTTAATGTGGATTCTGTATGATTTTGCAATATACAATTTTGTTTCCTATTAACAGATAATTTTATTATATTTTTGTATTTTTTTATTGTTACAATCGTGAAGGTACTTAAAACATGTTAGTTATAGCAATATAGTTTAAAGTTAAAGCCTCAGTTGCACACACAAACTCTCTACTACTTGCAATCTCTACCCCTATATCTACTTATGTTATTGATAGCACATTATATCATTAATGTATCTTAGAGGTTTAATATTTTATTGCTTACATTTTTTTAAAGTTCTCTAGGGAAGTCAGAGTGATTTGTGTTTGATCATAGGACTACTTCCCTTTTTTGTTTTCTCTGTTTACATGTAGAAGAATAGTTTATGTTTATATAGTTTTGTGTTGCTTAGAATATTATTTATTACATCTAGAAGGATTATCTTACTCATTTTTCATAGGGCAGGTCTAAAACTGAGAAAGTCTTCAGTGTTTTTGAGCTGCAAAATCTTTCTCCATTGTTGATGATCTTTTTTATCACAGATAGTATTCTTGTTTAATAGTTTTTGTTTTATCAGTTAGTGTGGGGTTTTTTTCATGCTCTTCTTTATAAGGTTCTGCTGAGGAAGCCACTGATAATCTTTGAGGAGCTGTCTTCCATGACAAGTTACTGTTTTGGTTTTTGGGGGGTTTTTTGTTTTGTTTTTTTTTACTCTTTCAGTATAATTGCGTGCTATTAATTATATTTTGATCATCATTCCTGTTCACATTTTTATATTCATTTCTCTTAGAATTTAGTGAATTTGTTGAATTTGTGTGTTTCTTTATAAAACATCAGACCATAAAACTATTAATTCATGTAAGCTCCCTTCCCATTTTCATTGTCCTATTTTTATGGGGTCCGCTAATGTGCTATGTGGTCAGTTTGTTAGTATCCCATGAGACTTCACTTTTACACAATTATGTTGGCTTTCTGGTACTGAAATTTTTAATTAACTCTACACATTTTTTAATTCATCAGCTTGGTCACATCTTTTGTTGATGATTCAAGTATATTTTTAATTTGGGTATTGTGTTTTTCAGCTTCCCATTTCTGTTTGGTTAATTTTTATATTTTGTCTTTGCATTTTCATTTTGGCTATACAAAGACTTGATATTATTACGTAGCTGTAATATTCTTCCGGGGCCAGGCAGGGTGATATGAGGGAGTCAGGGGCTGTGCCCATGCCAGTGGGGCATGTTTTGTCTCGATGGCCTATTTTCCCAAGGCCTCCTTGCTCAACTCCAGCCTTGGGGCCCTCTTGCCTGTTGGAGAGGCTACAGTCCCTGAAACCAGGTAGGACAGTTCCTAACTTATTTTAAGGTGGTTATTTTCAATTCTTTATCAGGTAATTAATATAATTCCATTTATGTAGTATTCTTTTTTGTGGATATATTTTTTATTTCTCATTGAACATTATTTTTTCTGATTCTCTGTCTTCCTATGTTTGTTGAAGTTAATAATTATAAAAAACCAGGCTTTATAAACTTGATTTCTATAGGAGAAAAGAAATAAACATCATCTGTAGTGTAAATTCTCATTTCTTCAAAAACTGTTTTTGGAATGTGTATTCTTTTTTCCTGTGGGTATAAGGTCAAAGGATAAAGTATAGTCTGTTTCTTTTCAAAGCCCATGATATCTTTCTGTATTTGATACGGGTCTTTAGTCCTTCAGCCTCTGTAATGGTTGGAATATTGCTCACTACAATGCAATCACCATTTACTGCCATTGCTTTAGCACTTTTGTCATGCAAAACAAACTTGTTTTTCATGATGCTGCAAAACAGTGAGAGCACTAAACACACTGGTACCCCCTCCTCAGTGTCTCTCCAGAGAGGAACTTAGAATTGAGAGTTTTCTTAAAACTTTGCAAAGGGATTTGAGAAGTATTGCCAAATACAAGCAACTTTTGTTTGTTTTTTATGTGACTTTTCCTCATTGTTCTTTTCTTGCTTTGAACATTTAACCTCCTATTGGAGTACTTTTACAAAAACTACAAAAACTGTAATTTGGCCAGCAATTGCTGATACACATTTAATGTACATTTACCTGAGTAACATACCTGAGAATCTTTATTTTGTATTTTTCAGCTATGTCATCTGAAGACATCCAGGCCTTGTTGAGAAATCCAAGAGTAGAAGATTTATTCTCTAAAGTAATAGTGGTAAGATTTGAAAGGTGTGCTTTTGATAATGTAATGAAAGCCTGATAAGGAGGTGTGTGATGGGAAAAAATGACGTTAAGATGGACAGAACTTACCTGAGATAATTATTCGTAATAAAATCCTTATTACCTAAATAGGTCAAAATAGTACACATTTGGAAAATTTCCACTTTAAGTCAGTTGCATTTGCTGATCGAGTTGTTTCTAAATGTGAAGACTGGAAACAGTTCTCTAAAGGTATATATTCTTAGAAAGGCAGTTTTTAAACATCTAGGAACTCACACAATCTATTAGGTGAATAATCATTTGAATTGTTTAAAATGTAGAGTGTGATTAATTTTTCAGTCAGTAATTTCCAAAATTTAGTGATTCATAATTTAGCAATTATAAAATTTAAATGTCATCAGTTGTAATCCATTTAATATGGGATTATTATTTTTAAAGATTTTATTATTTTCAAAGAGAGGGGATAAAAGAGAGAAACATCAATGTGTGGGTGCCTCTCTTTCACTCCCCACTGAGGACCCAGCTCACAACCCAGGCATGTTGTGCCCTGACTGGGAATCAAACCAGCGACCCTTGAGCCACACCAGTCAAGGCTTTTTATGCTATTACTATATTACATTGAGAAATACTTTAAAATTCCCAATATGTATAATTTTTGTGAGCTTGGAAGCAAATTTTAATGTACCAGCATAGTTTAATAGGAATGACAGAATACTTACTTGGGAACAAACGTACACATTGGATGAAATTCTATCTGTCACTAAAGGCCCTTCTATCTTCAACAATTGCATAGTACCTATAATGAAGACAGAAGTTACCAATGTAATGAACATTAGGAAAAGTTTAACTACAAGTCAGCTTATAATAAACATCAGAATACTCATCTTCCAGAGTATTGTTATAAAGGTGGAAGAGTATTTGACGAGATGTCAAATCACAATACACAATAAGTTATTCCTATTTTGGAGAAGATAAACAAACAAAGTAAATGTGTTCAATATTTTAAGCAGTCTTTAAATCATAATTAATAAAGGATACTCATACCAGGTAGGTAGGTAACTAACAAATATTTGCTGTCTGGCATAGTCTCCTGTAAGATATTCAGTCAAAATAGACAAGGAAATTTGTACTAGAGAAGTACATTATAAATGTAAATAATATGCTAAAACATTCAACTGACCTTCAGGTCTTATGCTACATCAGATAAGTCATACTGAAAAGAAGTTCTAAAAAGGTATAAAGCATGTGCCAAAACCTTTGAATGGCATTCATATCTCACTGTACATGAGAAAAGAATTCATACCGGGGAGAAACTTCACAAATGCACAGAATGTGGCAAAACCTTTAGCCTCTCTTCAAAATTTATTCAACATCAGATAATTCATACTGGAGAGAAACAGTACAAATGTAAAGAATGTGGCAAAGCCTTTAGGCATTCTTCAATTCTTACTAACCATCGCAGAATTCATATCGGAGAAAAGCCTTATACATGTAGAGAATGTAGTGAAGCTTTTACCCACTCCTCAGCACTTACTCAACATCAGAGAATTCATACTGGAGAAAAGTCTTATGAATTGACACAATGTTGGAGAGCCTTTACACACTCCTCAAAACTTTCATTTCATCAAAAAATTCATACTGGAGAGAGGAAACCTTATAAATGTAGTGGATATAGCAAAACCTTTAGGTGTTCCTCAAACCTCACTCAACATAAGAGAATTCATACTGGAGAGAAGCCTTAAATGTAGCTGTGTGGCAAAGGATTTAAGTGTTACCCTTTACTGAATATCAGAGGATTCATACTGGAGAAAGGCCTTATATGTGTAGAGAATGTGGTAAAGCCTTTACACAATCCTCAAAACATGATGAACATCAGAGAATTCATACTGGAGAGAAGCCTTATAAATGAAGGGAATGTGGGAAAACACTTGGGTGGTCTTCAACCCTTAATCAGCATCAAAAAATTCATGCTGAAGGAAAGCCATATATATGTAGAGAATGTGGTACAGCCTTTAGCAAGCCCTCATACCTTACTCAGCATCAGAAAACTCATACTGATGAGAGGCCTTATCAGTGTAGAGAATGTGGTAAAGCTTTTAGGTAGTCTGCACACCTTACTAAATGTGAAAAAATTCATACGGGAGAGAAGCCTTATAAAAGTAAGTATGTGGTAAAGCCTTCAGCCAATCTACATACCTTATGCACCATCTGATAATTCATACTGTAAATGTAGAAAATGTGGTAAAGCCTTTAGTGATTCTGTAACCATTACTGAACATCAGAAAAGTCATATTGGAGAGAAGACTTAAAAATGAAGAGAATGTGGCAAAGCCTTTGGTGAGGCTTCAAGACTTACTAGAGATCAGAAAATTCGTACTGGAGAGAAGTCTTATAGATACAGAGAATGTGATAAAGACTTTAGCCACACCATATAACTTACTGAACATCAGAATTCATACTGAAGACAAGTGATATAAATGTAGAATGTGGCAGGCATTTATGTGTTCCTCAACCCTTTCTCAACATAGCAAATTCACAGTGTTGACAAGTCATATAAGTGTGGAGAATGTGATGAAGCATTTAGCCAGTTCTCAAAACTTAATTGACATCAGAGAATTAATGCAGGAGAGAAGCCTTGTAAATGTAGAGAATATAGCAGAGCCTTTAGGTGTTCCTAAAATTTTAATCAACATTAGTGAATTCATACTGGAGAGAAGCCTTATAAATGTAGAGAATGTGGTAAGACATTTAGCCAGTCCTCTCACCTTTCTAAACATCAGAATATTCATACTGGAAATAATGTAGATGATGTGGTAAAGTCATTAAGCTGTCCTCATACCTTACTATCATTAGAAAATTCATACAGGAGAGAAACTACAAATATAGAAAATGTGACAAAGCTTTTAACCTGTGCTCAATACTTACTAAACATTGGAGAATTTACATGCAGAGAAACAATAAAATTTGAAGAATATGACAGTACCTTTCACCATTGTTCAGGTGTCATTCAATATCAGAGAAGACTTAAAAATGTAACAAATTTGGCAAAGTTCTTAATCTTTATTCATACCTTACTCAACATACTGGAGAGAAGCATACAAATATATTAAAAATTGGCAAAACCCTCACCAATATTCACACTTAGTCAACATCAGAATTAATTGTAAATAGAAACAATACAGATGAAAAGAATGTTGAGTACTGTTTTTCAATATTCATAACTTATCTGACACATAAGAATTCATACTAGACCCCTGGCTGGTATGGCTCAGTAGATTGAGCACCAGCCTGCAATCAGAAAAGTTGCCGGTTTGATTTACAGTCAGAGCGCATGCCTGGGTTGGGGGCCAAGTCCCCAGTGGGGACATGGGAGAAGCAAACGCTTGATGTATCTCTCCCACGTTGATGTTTGCCTCCCTTCTGCTCTCTCTAAAAGTAAATAAATCTTGTTTTTTAAACTAAAGAACATTTATTTTCCACTAAGACTTTATCTTAGGACATCACTACATTGTGTCATCAGCCCCACCCAACTTGAAGAAGGGTTAGTGCAGTGAATGTTATAAAGCAGATATGAAGAAAAACTTCAAAATCATCAAATGAATGTTTTAGTAAAAAAAAAAAAAAAAGGGGGGAGGGATGATCGTCGTTAAAGATTGAACAAGATCCTTACATTTCATCTAACATTCTATCTTGAGTGTACCAAAATGGAAAGAGGATTACTGTAACAGAAAACTTCTAGTACAGATTACTGTACACACCTGTGTTCTAAGCCCACCCCCAACCACCTAATGCTTTCGGCACTATTTCCCACACTGTAAAATCTTTTTAAAAAAATGTTTTTTAAAAAGAATTCACACTAGATAAAACTTTAAAAAGAAGATTGTAGGAAATAGTAGAGCTAAATTACAGTTTCACTGTCTTATCAGTGAATGCACACTGTGATAGAATTGTGTTCATAATAAAGAATGAACAACTTTGTCAAAAACACAGTTCACAAAAACCCATAGAATTTATGCCTGAAAGTGGCTGTCAAGATATAAAAAAAATTGAGGAAAATATGTAATTGAAAAAGAATTTCAAAAAGAATTCCCAGTAGAAAGTTAATCAATGATACTTAGTTTTCAGGTATTCCTCTGAATCAGAATGCTTACTATAAAAAATCATCTAGAGTTTAAAAACATTGATCATTAATTTTAGTGTTCTTGAGAATGTCTAGGGGATGGGTATTGGATATGTATCCTATTATATATGGACAGTATTTGTGATATTTTGAGAAGAAAATAATGTGATTCCAGTCTAATATCACTTCATGCTACTAGGTTTTGTTCCTAATGTTATGTGTGAAATCATGAGGTTCATTGTTGCTGCCCAACATATCTGTGAACTCTTGTATGCTAGGTGGGTTTCACTCATACCTACTTTTCCTTAAAAGACTGAGTGCATTGGAATGCACAATATATGAAGAAAATCTAAATGGAGATATTGTTTGTTGACTTAGACCTTTGTTGCATGTCTCCATGCAGGGCATCTTTTTGTTTTGCATTAATGTAAGAAATAGGAACATGAATTTTAAGTACTTTTCCAAGATACCCTTTAAAGAAACTATTGTGTCAATGTATTAAAATCCTGATGTATCTTCAGGGTAGTCATACATAGAAGTAATGAATATTAATTTATGTGGTTGGAATAAAAAGTGGTCAGACACATGTGAGAAAGTGTGGACAGCTCATCCCTAAGTGCATGAAATTGTTGTCCACCCATATTTGCTCAATAATTAGCCTCCAGTTTCAAAACCAAAGAAAGCTCTGCTATGAGATCATTATATCACAAGGACAGGAACACTTGTTTAATGATTGTAATGTGTATGTTGACAAATGGTGACACAGTCATTTCAAGATGCTTTATTAAGACGATTGTGAACTTAATTATTTTCCTTAATAAAGCTGAGAGAAGTTGAATGTCTTAATATATTTAACCTTGCTCAAGCTTGTAGGT